GGACAAATGTTGGGCTAGCAGCAGGCCGGTACTCAGGGAAAAGACGGCCAGACTTATAGCGCACACCACAAGCATTGCAAAGTGTCTTTGGCCCCATAGGCCCAGCCCTCCATTGCGGAGTCTTTGTTATCTCACAATGCATGCATTTCCTCACTGGTTGCGATGGTTGATTCTGGTTTGTATCCGAATTCCCTTCAGGAGCAGAAAGCTTGATCTTCTTCTTCTTCTTCTTATGCTCCGTAGCAACTTGCTTTGGTATTTTGATAACAAGTCGTGACTGCACGACATTCTCCGAATCGGAAGACCCCTTAGGGCTAGGATCAGCCACAAGGGGCTGCATTGTCCAATTCTCGTTGACTGAAGAGAGGGGGGATATGAGTTGGCTAGGGCGAGGATTGAAAGTTGCAGGGCGTGGACGCTTGCTGCGCGGACGTCCACACCTTCCAACAGCAACAGTGTCCGGGCTACGCGGAGCAGTCTTGTCTCCAGAGTAGGAGCTGCTGCTTTCAAGGACAGAAACAGGACTGGAAGTCTGGAATTGGTTGTGAGATGAGTCCTTGGTGACACATGAAGATTCTTCTTTGTTCATTGCGAGACTTCCTCCAGAGAAGGAATCCTCAACAAAATTTGAAAGCCATTCCAACTGAAGAATATCCTCGTACTGCAATCACAGCAAAAACCAAACCAAATCAGTCGACAGCTTTCCAAATCCACTCAAAACATATTCAAAACTAATGTCAAGCTCGCCAATTCTCCTAATTCAATCATACAAATCCCAATAAGATTCTGCACAATTCACATTAGACACTCAAAATTAACTTCAAGCTCGCCAATTCCCCCGACTCAATCATACAAATACAGATAAGGTCGCCCACAATTCACATTAGACTCAGGACTAACAACACATCAATACCCACTTGGGACTAATTTCTTTGTTTCTTCTTTTGATACAAAACCCATTTCATTTCATCAAACATTAAAGCTGAATTACAACTGAAGGAATCTACTTTTATTAGGTTATACAAAACATTCAATGCATTAAAGAGGAATTCATCAAAAGATGAAAAATTCAAGAAACCAATGTGGAAATCACTTGGGGGTACATTACGATTAAGAACATTCCAAAAGAATTTCTCTTTTTCTTTTTTAATTTTTTAATTTTTTTTTAAAGTGACAACCAATTTCAATCAACTAATCACATGGCCCATCACGTGACTTCCATAAATGAAATCACAATTATTATGTATCCTTTAATAATTCATTTTTATTTTTGGTGCACTGGATTCCACCCAGTCGCCGACATTAAAATCCAAATCTCATAATTACTAAAACAACCCCCTAAGATTAATTAACCCCCCGCAGATCAGCTACTAATCACCCCAACTTAAATCACTACGAAACACCATTAATGATTTTAATTAATTAATTTAATCAATAACGAACATCGCGTGAAGTCATCATCAGCAAAATCCAACGCCTGCAAATCAGGGGAGAAAGGAACGGAGATAAAAATTACTCACCGGAACGGAGAGCTCTGCGGAGAGGTCGGAACTGCTGTTCCCAGAGAAAACCGATTCGGAACCCGGAAGCGACTCCGACTGAGTCGGCCAGATGGTAGGGAGCGAGTTGGAATCTGCAGCGGAACCCAACCCGGCCTCTATGTCCTCGCCGGGGAAATCAAGCAAATCATCGATGTGGTCGAAGAAGCTGCCGCAATCTATCTCGTCGATGAAATTCGGTCCCATTACGACACCGCTTTTGGTTCCTGAGAAAAACAAAAAAACGAAGAATACCCAGATAAGGGCAGTGAGAAAACTGTCCTGGGTCGGGTGTATTTCTCGAGAAACTGAAAGAAAAAATGAGAGAAAACTGTAAATATATATATAGGGGATGGAGGATTTCAGGGTGCGCTGAAGAAAAAGGAGGCAGCACACAGTGTTTATTAAAAAGTGCTAAGCTATATCTATGGTAAGTGGCATTTTGGCAACGTGTCAATGATTAAGCCAGCTCATGAGCCGTGTGGCGCATGTTAGCAAATGCGTATATATCTGTGTACAGTGTGTATATCTGTATCTATATATATATATATGCGTGTATGTATATTTACGTTTCAGTAAAGATGATTCTTCTAACCGATGTTACGTTAAAACGAGGTTGAAAAAATCAAAATGTTACCATTTAATTCAATTTTCTTAAAATAAATTTTGGGGGCATCAATGTCATGAAAATTCGAAAAATTGAATAAATTTGGAGCCATTCTTCGAAAGAGATATTTCAAAACTCGAAGTTAAGAAAAGAAAAAAAAAAAAAATCTTTTGAAAAAGGAAGAGTAATCAACACGGGGCGTATGTTAGCCCCACCCTCTGCAAATTTTGGTTTTATTTGCAGAGAATTTTAATTTTCTTGGAAAAATTTGACGGGGGAGAAAAGAATTGATAACGTAGAAGCAAACCTTGAGCAATTTCAGATGGATTTTTTTACTGGGAATTTGGTAAGAAACTGAGTAATCGAAGAATCCTGCACGAAACGGAAGAGAAAAAAAAGTGAGTTGAGTACAAATTATCAGGATAATTTAGTTTAATTTTACAGTGGTAATGCAGAAAACTCGAAAGCAAATAAGAACAGGGAAGAAAAAATTCTTGAAAAATGCCGAAAACCTAACTCGATTGAATTCTCTCTTAAATTAAAAATGACATAAAACATTTGAATGGTCCTTTTAATTTTTCGCTTCCATTTCCCCCTCCCCAAAGCTTTCTCAGCAACCAAACAGAGAATTAACGGCAGTTCAGAAGGGAAATCCCTCTCGCTGCCGACACTCAAAAAGACCCCAGGTTTACACTCAAAATGGTCCAGAATTACGTACAGTAACGTACTGAAAGTCGAAATTAAACTCAAATCAGAAATTTAAAAAAAAAAAAAAATTAACAATTCCCGCCCTTAACTCCAGACTCGAATCCCAAGTGAGAATTCATCAGTCAAATCGCAATCATCTCCAAAAGCACAAAGCAAAGCCAGAAGAAAAAATTCACCCAAATGCATGTAAAATCTTCTTCAGAAGTAGAAGAAAGAAGACACAAACAAGAGAGTTACCTTGCGATTTGGTGCGTAAAACAGAGAGAAGGGGGGGAGTTGGAGTTGGAGTTGGAGGAGTCTGATGATAGAAGGGGAGAAGGAGAAATGAAATTTGAAAAGAAGAAGAAGAGAGAAGGAGAGACTAAAAAGGGAGAGAAGGGAGTGAAGGTAGGTGAGCCTCCTCCTTCATTGCTAGCTGTCTTTTACTAATCCCTTCACTGTCTTGATGTTGAAGTCTTCTCCCTCCCTCTCTCTCTCTCTCTCTCTCTTCTTATTACCTTGTGGGTCCCTCCTAATTTTCTTTTTTCTTTTTTTCTTTTTTTAATTTCCTTCTGAATTTATATTTTAATTTCCCATTTTGTCCTTCAATTAAATGTACGAAATAAACTTTTATGGCGATTACTTAAATTTTTATTAACTAAGTAAGATTTTAATTATAATGCTAAAATCTTAATTTAATATTAATAAATTTAATTTAGAAATTTATTAATATTTTTACCTTATTTTATCAGATTTTATTATTATTATTATTATTACACTTTAATATATATATAGAATAAAAATAAATTTTCTTCCGCTGAAAAATCCAAAACAATTTGCTCTACAAAAAATAAACATAACCTCCCCAAGCGTTTTACCCGCGCGTGTCGCCGCAAACACTTACATGTCTCTACGTAATTCGTCAGTGGTTTTCCCACGTCAAATACGCGCTTGAGGAACGGGAAGAAAATTGAATTTTTTAATTTAATTCCGTTTTCGCCCCCCTAATTTTCATAAAACTACAAAATTTGCTGTTTTTTCAGAGACCCAACGCGTTTGTTACGGCGTGGCAGCCTTTTGATTTTGATGGAGTTTTTTATTTTTTAATTTATAATTTTCTCTCTATTTTTTAATTTTTTTCTAATAAATAATTAGTATTTTATTTATTAAACATTTTTTTATTTTTTCAAATTATGGGTTTTTTTTGGATTTTTTTGTAGAAAATTATTTTTCTTTCGCCAACTTTAATAGAAAAAAAAAAGTGTGAAAATTCAGTAAATTCAGGCGATGATTTTTCGAAAATAATTAATCTATCTTTCTCAAAAAAATAATAATAATTTATATAATTTACGTCTCGGGTGCCGTGATTTATGAATTTATAAATTTTTTTTTTTTAAAAAAAGAGTTTTTTATTGCCACTTGAGTCCGGTTAAATTGCATTATAAAATGGAGTCAAAGGGTTTGACTTTTTAGTCTTATTTAGCCAACGCAAGGAGAAAAATATACATATATATTATAAGTGCAGTAAAGAAATTTATATATACGTGTATACATATACATACACAAATATGTACAAATTGTACCACTCTTTTTAACTAACTTGACTTGCACCCTTTGTATCAATCCCTTAAAAAATACTCTCTCTCATTTTATTTTTGTAAAAAAATTAATTTTTTTATTAAATCATATACTAAAAAAAGCTGAATTCTTCTTTATTTTTTCTTTTTAAAGATTTCCCTTTTTATTTATTTATTTATTAAAAAAAAAAAAAAAAAAACTAAACTTGGATTGCACTCTTTGAATCACTTCCTTCTAAAAGACTTCTCTCTTCCTCTTTGAGAAAAGCAAAAATTTTGGTAAAAACCAATTATAAAAAAGTTGTGTTCTAGGGTTTGGCTTCATGCACTATTGATCATGGAGTTTGTATTCATTCATGCATGCATACATACATATATATATATATATAGAATACGATCATCTATTTCGTTATTTTTTAATAAAAATTTACATACATTCTGATACGAAGTTGTATTTTTTAATAAAGAAAAAAAACAACAGTTATCTAATAAATGAATGAATTTTATCAATTGAGTAAAGTGTTTTTGTAATTTTAGGGTTCCATGCATGAAGGAAAAAATTTTTGTGAATTTAAAAAATAAAACATATAAGATATATATATACATATATATATATATAGCTCCACTTTTATTTATTTTAAAATGATGGGTTACGACTATTTTCTCAATTTATGTTGATTTTGGTAGTGATGTGCACCGAGGACAAAAGAAAAATTCTAAAATAATTACTAATTACTCGATACTCGAAAATATTGGCTTCCATTAATTAAACAAATCTTGAATGCAATTATTAATTTGTGGGTATTTCGACAATCAAAATTTAAGTAATTAATTTTTATTTTCCAATAGCATACTTACGTATATATATATATATATATATATATATATATATCGTTGATCACATAACATAACATGATAAGCATTTCTTTTCTTCCCTTCAAAGATACCCATCACCCCTTTATTAACAATTTAATTAACCCTTACCACTTTTATCATTAAATATTCAAATATAAACAACTAAATTTTTGACATCATCTAAATTATGACATAATTTATAATTTAAAAAAAAAACCCATTTCAAATTTAAATTTGATTTACAACATACATAAAAACCCAAAAAAAAAAATCAACACATATATATATATATAATAATGTTTATGAATATAAATAGCACCGACACATGGGCAAGATATATATACAAGTGCATGTATGTGAAAATTACTGTCAAACTCAAACTATATATATATATATATATATATATATATACGTGTAAGTATAGAAAAACTTTTCAATATCTAAAAATATAATAAATATTCTTATCAATCGGACCATGACAAGACGTACGTATCATAAAATAGCGATGCCTTTTTAAGTTGAGAACATCGTGTGCCTCAAAATACCCAAAGCTACCCATCACGTTGTCTCTCTTTGTCACTTCCATTTCTTATAATTCTCATTAAATTTAACCAATTAATTAATTACCCACAAAAATTAATAACAACACAAATAATTCCCCCTTTTATACATAAATATAAATATACATATATATGTATATGTATGTATGTATGTATCGGTCGGTGACCCAAAAAGATCCTTACCCATGTGTCCAAAGTTCTTGAGAACGGGGCACATGGCTTTGTGCTGAAACTAGGCCATATACCACCGATTAAGAAAGCTATACGGTCAAGTGTTCGTATTTAACCTTGAGATTTACACGTATTAAGACATATTAAAGACTAATATAATTATAATTAAGTTAACCATGTTAATTAACAATTAATTTAATTGTGTTTTGTATAACATGGTTGGTTGTCTCGTATATTCTAAGGAGCAGATTAAGGAAAGAACTGGGTAACCTTCCTGATATTTTCACTTTGACGAATTTACCCTCCACGAGTTGACTTTGTTCGCTTATCCGGTTTGGGTATAATGGTAATTTTAAACGAGAGTGATGACGTGGCAGAACCCGCGCAATGTGCGGGAATGTAAGCATGTGCGTCGTGCGTGCGAGCAAGTAAGAGCCCATGTTCCGGGTGGGACCCAAAAGTCGCACGTCGCCCGTCGGGTACCTCACACGTTGTGCCAACGTGGCTGCCACGGATTCACCATGTTACCGTGGAGCCCACCCAAAACCTGCCTGCTTCCAGCTAAGTGAAAGCGTTACTGCACTCGCTGGAGAGAGGAGAGAGAGAGAGAGAGAGTAAAAAAAAATTGCACAGTGGGACCCGCCAGTCACGTGACATTGCCTCGGGATCCGTTGAGGATTCCCTGCTCGCGTGCTCGTTATTCTTATTCTGCTCCGACCTGTCTTCTGCAGCCACGTCGTCCGTGCCGATTTCTTTGGACGAAAAGGCCCCTGATTAAACTCATTGAGGAGAGGTCAAAGGTCAAAGGTCAAAGGTCAAAGGAATGAGATTATTAGAGGGCTTAGATCATGTGCTGGGGTTCACGTGGGCCCCCGGGTCCCATTAACCCACGACCGTACAAATCTTGTTTGGGGACAAAATGTGATCTGAAGAGTTCGCGTGGGCCCCAAAAGGTTATGGATGATTTATAATTATACTAAATTCCAAAAATTAATATATATTTAAAAAAAAAAAAAAAGAAGAGAGAATAATCATATGTTAAAACTTGTTTAGTATTATAAATACATTAATTTTTTATTAAGATCGTGGCTTAATCTCTAATTATGCTATTTTCTGTGGATTTTTTTTTATAATTATTAACAATTAGTGTGTGTGCAAAATTAGGTTAATATGGTCTTAATCAAAATCAATCTGATAATTACTATGTCTTGATCCAAACCCATTTGATATTTTTGGGCATGTGTATATATATATATATATATATGTATATATAAATGTAAGTGAAGATAAAATTATTTGATGTAACATAAAAATTAGTAACTTTTTAAATAGTTAATCGATAAAGTAGTAATTCAAAAAGTAAATTAAAATAATTTTATAATTATATTCGAAATTAGAAGAGCATTTTTTTTTAATTATTGATAAATAGTATTAAATGTTGGGAATGTTAATTTAATTAACTGAATTTGATGTGGTAAATGAGTTTGGAATCTGTCTTTGGACAAAAAGTAAAAGTTAAAATCAATTTAAAATAATAACCACTGGGATTAATCATTTGAATCAGTACTGTAAAATTTCTTAATGCCAGGAACAATTTGATAGGATTTATGTATGTGTGTGTATGTATATATATATATATATATATGCAGCATAAAAACTGACATTATATGATTGGATGTGTGTTAAGAACTGTAAATTTTTTTTAAATATATTATCTTTTCTACTATATATATATATATAATGGAGAGTTATAATTCATGTTCTAATTATTTTTTAAAAATATTTATACTATAAGGTAGCACAGACAATGCATGTGCTTATAAGTACAATACTATTTATATTTCAATAATTTTTAAAATTAATTAAAACTTAATATTTCCGATAAAGTTTATAATTTTAATTTCTGAATTATTCGTCGCACAATAATTAAGTTATAATAATTACAATTATTATAATTTAATTCTTAATCTCCTAAAATTATTTAAATTCACGATTTTTTTTTTAATAGAATTGTGAATTTTTTAACAAAAAATTTGCTAATATTTTGAAAATTATAATAATAGATGTTTGCATTGATAATATTTAGCATATAATAATAAATCTTTTGAATTGTTTATTAAGTTTTGTTTTAAAATTGACTCATATAAATAATTAAATTAATTATATGTGATGGAAATATTTATATTCGTTTAACCATATTAGTCAAATATAAAGTTAAAAATACATAAACTAGAGAAT